CCTTCCATGCCTTTTTCTGTCCTTCTCTTTCCTTCCTTCCCTCTTTTTGTTTTCTTTCTACTTTCTCTCCTTTCTTCCTTCTCTACCTCTTTCCTTCCTTCCTTCGCTTTCTGTTTCCCTCCTTCCTTCTCTCTTTCCTTCCCTCCCTCTTTTTCTACCTTCTTCCTTCGCTCCCTCTTTCCTTCCATCCCTTTTTTCTTTCCTTCTCTCTTTCCTTCCCCTTTTTATTTTCCTCCTACTTTCTCTCCTTTCTTCCTTCTCTACCTCCTTCCTTCCTTCGCTCTTGGCTTCTGTGCTTGCATCTGACCTTCCTTCTTTCTCCCCTCCCTCTATCTCTCCTTCACTCCTTCCTTCCTTCGCTCCATCTTTCCTTCCTTCCTCCTTTTTCTTTTCCTTCTACTTTCTCTCCTTTCTTCCTTCTCTACCTCCTTCCTTCCTTCGCTCTTGGCTTCTGTGCTTCCATCTGTCTTTCCTTCTTTCTTTCCCTCCCTCTTTCTCTCTTTCTTTCCCTCCTTCTTTCTTTCTTTCCCTCCCTTTCTCTTTCTTTCCCTCCTTCTTTCTTTCTTTCTTTCCTTCCCTCCCCCCTCTCTTTCTTTCCCTCCCTTTCTCTTTCTTTCCTTCCCTGCCTTTCTCTCTTTCTTTCTCTTTCTCCTTCCCTCCCTTTCTCTTTCTTTCCCTCTTTCTTTCTTTCCTTCCCTCCCTCCCTCTTCCTTCCATTTTTGTCTGTATTGTCATTTAGCTTTTTGGGGCTTTTAAATCCTTTACACTGTTTTTTGGAGGGATTTTATGAGTGATGGTCACTCGTTGGTCTGTTAGGGGTGTAGTGTCCACATTTCGTGTCAATCCGTCCAGTGGTTTTTAAATTATGTTAACCCCACAAACAAACATTACATTTTTATTTATATGGGGGTTCTGTGTGGGAGGTTTGGCCCTATTCTATCGTCGGTGGGGTTCAGAATGTTCTGTGATTGTAGGTGAACTATAAATCCCAGCAACTACAACTCCCAAATGTCAAGATTCTATTTTCCCCAAACTCCACCAGTGTTCACATTTGGGCATATTGAGTATTCGTGTAGAGTTTGGTCCAGATCCATCATTGTTTGAGTCCACGGTGCTCTCTGGAAGTGGGTGAACTACAACTCCCAAATTTAAGATCAATGCCCACCAAACCCTTCAAGAATTTTCTGTTGGTCATGGAAGTTCCGTGAGCCAAGTTTGGTTCAATTCCAAACACACACACACATAATAATCTATATTGCATATAATAATCTTATTTTATTATTATATAATAATATATTGCATTAAATAATAATAAATAATATAGACACACATAAAATTACATAATAAATTTATTTATTTATTATATTATTATAATTAATATTATTATTAAATAATAATAATTTATATAGACACAAATTTAAGATCCAAATTATATATATATATATACACACACACAGAAAATAATATTATATTGCATGTAATAATCTTATTTTATTATTTTATTAATATTATTATTAAATAATAATAAATTATATAGACACAAATTTAAGATCCAAATTTTATATATACACACACACAAAATAATATATTATATTGCATATAATAATCTTATTTAATTATTATTAAATATTATTATTAAATTATATTAAATGATATAGACACAAATGAAATACACATTATATACACATACTATAATATATAATATATTGCATCAAATAATAATAAATAATATAGACACACATAAAATTATATATTAAATTTAATTAATAATAAAATACAAATATTTTATTTTATATTATATATATATATACACACACACACACACACACACACAAACACACATAAAATAATATATTATATTGCAAATAATCTTATTATATTATTAATATTATTATTAAATAATAATAAATTACATAGACACAAATGCTCTTTGATTGTAGGCGAACTATAAATCCCAGCAACTACAACTCCCAAGTGACAAAATCAATGCTTTTTGAGTGAAGGACATACATTGGGTTGTTAGGTGTCTTGTGTCCAAATTTGGTGTCAATTCGTCCAGTGGGTTTTGAGTTCTGTTCATCCCACAAACGAACATTACGTTTTTATTTATATAGATCATCATCATCATCACCACCACCATCATCATCATTATCACCATCATGATCAGGTTGAGTCGCCTTACCTGATCCGAAGCCTCGGCCTTTCCTTTTCTTTGCTTTTTCCTTCAGTTTGTGGATGCTTTCTGCAGAGAAACCATATAGAGATTGATTAAACAATGGTCAAATTCACAAAACAACAACAACAACCAAAATAGGTGTATGTTAACATAGTTTATATACATAGATAAGACAAAGAAGTGCAAAGATATATATGTGTGTATGAGAGAGAGAGAGAAGAAAACATACAGCGAAGGCTGATCACTTCTACAATTTAGGATACACACTGTTATTATTATTATTATTATTATTATTATTATTATTATTATTGTATCCTGCTTGATCTCTCCATACGAAGAATCAAAGCAGCTCACAATCCAAAATATTACAACTTAATAAATTATATAGACGCAAATTTAAGATCCAAATTATATATATATATACACACAGACAAAATAATATATTATATTGCATATAACAATCTTATTTTATTACTATATTATTAATATTATTATTAAATAATAATAAATTACATAGACACAAATTTAAGATCCAAATTATATATATGTATATACACAGACAAAATAATATATTATATTTCATATAAAAAATAATATAGATACACATAATAAATAATACAGATAGACACACATAAAATTATATATTAAATTTAATTAATAAAACAGAAATAATATTTTATTATATATATATACATACACAAACACACATAAAATAATATATTATATTGCATATAATAATCTTATTTATTTATTATATTATTATTAAATAATAATAATAAATTATATAGACACAAATTTAAGATCCAAATTATATATACACACACACTAATATATTATATTGCATAAAATAATCTTATTTATTATATTATTATTCACATTATGAAATAATAAATTATATAGACACACTTTTAAAATCCAAAATATATATATACACACACAAACAAAATAATATATTATATAACATATAAAACTTATTGAATTATTATTAAATATTATTATTAAATTATATTAAATGATATAGACACAAAATTATATACACACACTATAATATATTATATAATGTATTGCATCAAATAATAATAATATAAATAGACACACATAAAATTATATATTAAATTTAATTAATAATAAAATACAAATAATATTTATTTATTATATTATTGATATTATTAAATAAAAAAAATTTATAGACACAAATTTAAGATCCAAATTATATATATATATATATATACACACACACACAAAATAATATATTGCATTAAATAATAAATAATAATAAATAATATAGATACACATAATAAATAATAGATAGATACACATAAAATTACATATTAAATTTAATTAATAATAAAAATAATATATTAAATTGCATATAATAATCTTATTTATTATATTATTATTTATTTTTTATTTATATTATTTATTTATTATATTATTATTAATATATACAAACACACATAAAATAATATATCATATTGCACATAATCTCCTTTTATTATTGTATAATAATACATAATATACTGCATTACATAATAATAAATAATATAGATACACACAATATTAAATTTAATTAATAATAAAAATAATATATTAAATTGCATATAATAATCTTATTTATTATATTATTATTTATATTATTTATTTATTATATTATTATTAATATATACAAACACACATAAAATAATATATTGTATTGCACCTAATAATCTCATTTTATTATTGTATAATAAAATATAATATACTGCATTAAATGATAATAAATAATATAGATACACATAATAAATACTATAGATAGATACACATAAAATTACATATTAAATTTAATTAATAATAAAATACAAATAATACAAATAATATTTATTTATTATATTATTAATATTATTATTAAATAATAATAAATTATATAGACACAAATTTAAGACCCAAATTATATATATATACACACACAAATAATATATTATATTGCATATAATAATCTTATTTTATTATTATTATATAATAATATAGAATATATTGCATTAAATAATAATAATATATAATATATATACACATAAAATTACATATTAAATTTAATTAATAATAAAATACAAATATTTTATTATATATATATACACACACACACAAAGTAATATATATTGCATATAATAATCTTATTTTATTATTGTTATATTATAATATATAATATATTGCATTAAATAATAAATAATACAGATAGATACACATAAAATGGATAGATACACATATATTACATTTAATTAATAATAAAATATAGATAACAGATCTACATGGAAGAGAGCATTGTGTATATCTATTTATTTATACTACTTGAGCGCCTGGACTCCATTTCCCAGAATGCTCCACCGTTGTGGCGGGCGGCAAGAGCTTCTGGGGGATGTAGTCCGACGTCACTTCCGCTCAACCGGAGGCGACTAGGCCTCAGGCGGGCCCTAAATTAGGAGGGAGTGAGGGAGGCCCGGGCCCGGCTTGGGCTGCTCGCTCACCGTCGCCGTCCTCGTCCATGGCGAAGTCCTCTCCGCCGGCCTCGTGGAGGTCCAAGACGTCCGCCATCGCGAGGAGAGCCCGAAACACCGAAGACTACGACAAGGAAGGCTCCGCGGCCTACTCCCACACAGCGACAGAGAAGGAGCGTCTCTGCGCATGCGCACTCCCTTAAGCGCCAAAGGAAGGGGGCGGAGACGTCCAGAGGAGGTCGCCTTGCCGCGCCTGCGCAGGAACGCGGCGTCGCCCGCGCAGGCGCCATCTTGAGAAGGTCATGACAACAAGGAAGGCTCCGCGGCCTACTCCCACACACCGCCAGAGAAGGAGCGTCTCTGCGCATGCGCACTCCCTTCAGCGCCAAAGGAAGGGGGCGGAGACGTCCAGAGGAGGTCGCCTTGCCGCGCCTGCGCAGAAGCGCGGCGTCGCCCGCGCAGGCGCCATCTTGAGAAGGTCGTGGATGTGGGTTTGTTGGTTTGTCCCAACAAGGTTCAAAAGCGGCTGGGTGGATCCGGACCCAACTTGGCAGGCAAAGCCTTCGTGGTTGGACTTAAAAGATGGGAGGGGTTTGGAGGTGGAAAGAGAAACGCTCTCTTGGTAGTTTCCGTTCTTAACGTTGAGCCTTCTGTAGGCCACCTCCCCCTGGACAGCAATGTATGCGGCAGGTACTGGCTCGTTCAGTAGACTCTCCCGTACAGTTCCATTTTGGCAGGAAACCTTGGCATTGAACGGTTGTGTTGTTAAAGTGCAAAGTATGGAACCCTGCGCAGACGGTTGATCAGTGTGACTTAAGCAACGTATGTGGCAGGTACTGGCTTGTTCAGTACACTCTCCACTACAGTTCCATTTTGGCGTGAAGCCTTAGCATTGAACGGTTGTGCTGTTAAAGTGCAAAGTATGGAACCCTGCACAGACGGTCAGTCAATGCGACTTAAGCAACGTATGTGGCAGGTACTGGCTTGTTCAGTACACTCTCCACTACAGTTCCATTTTGGCGGGAAGCCTTAGCATTGAACGGTTGTGTTATTAAAGTGCAAAGTATGGAACCCTGCGCAGACGGTCGGTCTATGCGACTTAAGCAGCGTATGCGGCAGGTACTGGCTTGTTCAGTACTCCCTCCTCTACAGTTCCATTTTGGCAGGAAGCCTTAGCATTGAATGATTGTGTTCTTAAAGTGTGACGTACGAGAGTTGAATAAAAAGTAATGCCTCCACCTTCACAACTCCCCAACAGATGGCATACAGGTATGTGGCAGGTACTGGCTCGTTCAGTAGACCCTCCTCTATAGTTCCATTTTGGCGGGAAGCCTTAGCATTGAACGGTTGTGTTGTTAAAGTGCGAAGTATAGAACCCTGCGCAGACGGTCGGTCAATGCGACTTAAGCAACGTATGCGGCAGGTACTGGCTCGTTCAGTAGACTCTCCTCTACAGTTCCATTTTGGCGGGGTTGTGTTGTTAATCATGCCCAGAGTGGGAGAAAAAACCCTCGTCTGTGTGAAGCAAGGGTGGATGTTGCAGTTCTGGTGGTGAAAACTTTGGGGCGCTGGTGCTTTGCTTTTACATGTTGGTAAAGTTCTGGTGGTGAAAATTTCAGAACTCTTACAAAACTTTCAAAATTTCATTATATATGGTAGTTCCTTATTGGTTCTGCCATAAGGGGAGGGAAGAAAGAAAGAAAAAGAAGGGAAGGAAAGGAAGGGAAGGGAAAAAAGGGAGAAAATGGAGGGAGGAAGAAAAAAAGAGGGAACGAAGAGAAAGGAAAGGGGGAAGGTACAAGGGGTAGGAAGAAAGAATGAAAAATAAGGGAAGGGAAGGAAGAAAAAAGGGAGGGAATTAAGAGAAAGGAAAAGGGGACGGTACAAGGGAAGGAAGAAAAAGAAGGGAAGGAAGGAAAGGAAGAAAAAAGGGAGGGAGAAAAAAAAGGAGGGAATGAAGAGAAAGGGAAGGGGGAGGTACAAGGGGAGGGAAGAAAGAAAAAGAAGGGAAGGGAAGAAAGAAAAAAAGGAGGGAATAGAAGAGAAAAGAAGGAAGGTACAAGGGGAGAGAAGGAAGAAAAAGAAGGGAAGTAAAGGAAGGGGAGAAAGAAAAAAAGGAGGGAGTGAAGAGAAAAGAAAGGGGGAAGGCACAAGGGGAGGAAAAAAGAAAAAGAAGGGAAGCAAAGGAAGGGAAGGTAGAAAAAAGGGAGAGGGGAGGGAGGGAGGAAGAAAAAAGGAGGGAATGAAGAGAAAGGAAAGGGGGGAGGTACAAGGGGAGGGAAGAAAAAGAAAAAGAAGGGAAGTAAAGGAAGAAAGAAAAAAAGGAGGGAATGAAGAGAAAAGAAAGGGAAGGTAGAAGGGGAGGGAAGAAAGAAAGAAAAAGAAGGGAAGTAAAGGAAGGGAAGAAAGAAAAAAGGGAGGAAAGGGAGGGAGAAAGAAAAAAGGAGGGAATGAAGATAAAGGAAAGGGGGAAGTACAAGGGGAGGGAAGAAAGAAAGAAAAAGAAGGGAAGGAAGAAAAAATGGAGGGAAGGGAGGGAGAAAGAAAAAAGGAATGAACGAAGAGAAAGGAAAGGGAGAAGGTACAAGGGGAGGGAAGAAAGAAAAAGAAGGGATGGGAGAAAAAAGGGAGGAAAGGGGGAGAGAATAAAGGAGGGAATGAAGAGAAAGGAAAGGTGGAAGGTACAAGGGGAGGAAAAAAGAAAAAGAAGGGAAGCAAAGGAAGGGAAGGTAGAAAAAAGGGAGAGGGGGGGAGGGAGGAAGAAAAAAAGGAGGGAATGAAGAGAAAGGAAAGGGGGGAGGTACAAGGGGAGGGAAGAAAAAGAAAAAGAAGGGAAGTAAAGGAAGAAAGAAAAAAAGGAGGGAATGAAGAGAAAAGAAAGGGAAGGTAGAAGGGGAGGGAAGAAAGAAAGAAAAAGAAGGGAAGTAAAGGAAGGGAAGAAAGAAAAAAGGGAGGAAAGGGAGGGAGAAAGAATAAAGGAGGGAATGAAGAGAAAGGAAAGGTGGAAGGTACAAGGGGAGGGCAGAAAGAAAGAAAAAGAAGGGAAGTAAAGGAAGGGAAGAAAGAAAAAGAAGGGAGAGAAAAAGGAGGAAAAGATGAAAAAGAAGGGAAAGATATGAGGGGAGGAGAAGAAGAAAACAAAAAGGGAAATAACTGAGGAAAGAAAGAAAAAGGAAGGAAGAGAAATGAAAGGTGGAAAGGCACAAGAGGAGAGAAGGAAAGAAAGAAAAAGAAGGGAAAGAGGGACGGAGTGAGAAGAACGAGAAACGAAGAGGACTAACGGCAAATGAAGCAAAGCAACGGAAGAAGGAAAGAAAGGATGGAAAGAGCGAAGGGGAAAGTGTATGAAGAAAAGAACAAGCCACGCAGGATACGCTACTTTTATTGTACTTTTAAAAAATTACAAAAACCAGTACAGAACATCGTGAGAACAAAACCGGAGGCAACCCTTCGAGGGCCGTATTGTAATAAATGCGTTTATAAACATCAATACTGCAGTGTAAACAAGGTGCTATATAAAAATAGATACATATACTTTAATATATATATATATATAAAAGGTACAAGACTTATTTCCGGGACACGAATCGCAGGGAAGAGACTGGGAAGAGACTACGTTCCATTAGATCTCGGAAATTTTTCGTACGAAAATCCTTTTCTGAATGTAAACAAATCGGAAATTTTAGGAAATTTCCGACCAAATGAATTTGAATTGTGCTTCTGGGGTTGTAACGCAGAGCCTATCTTCACTATGTGACTTTCCCTACAATTATGTATCCTATCCATCGAAGAATATAACCCTAAAGACACCGCTTCCCTTCCATACGGTTTATGCACGAGATTCCTAAAAATTAGGCATTATATCCATAGCAAGAAAACAAAAACAAGTTTTTTTCCTGGCAATGCTACATTTCCACTTAATACTGTACCTAGCCCCTCCCACTGGCTATATATACTCGTCAAGGGGAGAGTGGGCGGGGCTACCACCTAAAAGTGTCTAGTAAGTTTTCTAGAAGATTCCGAACTGTCTGCGCAGGCAACACCATATGTGCGATTCACAGGGACCACGATGGGGAAAACTCACTGAAATCTTTGCAAGTCCAAATTTGACGGAAGAAAGTATTGCAAAAATATTTGCAAGTCCAGGTTTGAATAATGGGGAAAGGCGTTGCAACAACTTTCTAAATCCAGCTTTGACGGAAGAAAGTATTGCAATAATGGCTGAAGTTCTTTGCAAGTCCAAATTTGAACAAATGGGAATACTCATTGCAACAATGGCTGAAGTGGATCTGAGGCAGTAGCCCCTCCCACTGCCTATATATACTCTCAAGGGGAGAGTGGGCGGGGCTACCGCCTAAAAGTGTCTAAGAAGTTATCTAGAAGATTCCGAACTGTCTGCGCAGGCAATACCATATGTGCGATTCACAGGGAACACGATGGGGAAAACTCATTGCAACAACGACTGAAATCTTTGCAAGTCTAAATTTGAACAAATGGGAAAATGGCTGAAATCTTTGCAAGTCCAGCTGGAAGGATGGGAAAAGCATTGCAACAATGGCTGAAATCTTGGCCAAATTCAATGCTCTGGGAAATTGGAACGTCGTTCGATCGGGGCGCCAAAATCGGGCAACGGAGGGGGTCGGGATCAAACCGACGGCAGATCCAGCGCCTTTGGAGGGTATCGGAAGGATCTGCAGGAGAAACGAATCCCAGTTGTGCATCGGCGGGTTCAACGGGCGCATCGGAGGCCCTAGCAGTTGGCGGGGTGCCGGTTGCCCAGCTGCCCGGCCGCCAGCATGAGGATGTCCTTCTTCTCCTTGTGGAAGCGCAGCTCCTTCCCAGCCAGGCGGGCATCCTCCAGCTCGCGCTCGGCGGCCGCCATCTCGCGGGAGAGCGCCCCCGCCAGGCTCTGCTCCCGGTTCACCCAGTCCAGGGCCATCTGGTTGCGGATGTCGTCGTCCAGCGCTCGGTGCGAGTAGTGTGCCAGCACCTCCTGAGTGGGGGGAATTGTACGAGAGGTCAGCAAAGGTGCTTCCGAGCACAGGACAATATAATAATTGTATATTATACATTACATATAATATTACTAATAATATTGCAGTATAGCAGTATAGTACAATAATATACAATACTCATATTGTGCTAGGCATATATATATATATATATATATATATATATATATATATATATAATATTATATATATGTATATATTCCATTGCCATTTCCCAAAATCTCATGAGATGTTGACTTTGAAAGGAATGTGAAGGAGACGAGGGTTACCGATAACCCAGCGTTTACAGCTCAGAAGGGAGAGTGCAAAGCAGAGACAAATTTGTTGTTCCCAGAGATTGAAATATAATCAAAGGGAACCCAGGTGTGAAAAAGCGATGTCATGGGCAAGAGTTAGTATTCCTCTCATTTCCTGTTGTCTCAGCCCCGTTCTTAACTAGGAGTCATTTGTAAGTGGGGTGTTTGTAACTCGGGGAATACCTGTGTGTGTGTGTGTGTATAGTAAAGGTTAAGGTTGCCCTCGACATTAAATCCAGTAATAATAATACTTTCTACCTTGATATTCTGGGATAAAGGGCTGTGTGGAAGAAAGCAAAGAAAGAGGTAGAGGAGGAAGAAAGCAGAGAAAGGAAGAAAAAAAGACAAGGAAGGAAGGAAAGAGGGAGGGAAGGAAGGAGAGAAAGGAGGGGAAAAAAGGGAGGGAAAATTGGCCACAGCAATGCGGGGCGGGTACAGCTAGTATATATATATACACACACACATACTCACACATCATGATACTAATACTAATATAATACTTATAATATACTAGCTGTGCCCTGCCACGCGTTGCTGTGGCCTATAGTAAGAGTTTTGAAGTCTCTGCCTGGCCTCACTTCCTCCTTTCTTCTCTCTTCCTTCCTTCTCTCGCTCTCTTTCCCTCTTTCTCTCTCACACACTCCTTCCTTTCCCCTCTTTCTCTCTCTCTCTCTCTCGCGTCCCTCCTTCCTCCCCCTTCTCTTTTTCACTCCATCCTTCTCTTTCTCTCCCTCCCTCTTTCTCACTCTCTCACACACTCCCTCCTTTCCCTCTTTCTATCTCTCTCTCTCTCGCGTTCCCTCTTTCTCTCCTCCCTCTCCCTCTGTCTCTCTCCTTCCCTCTTTCGCGTGTTCCTTTTTCTCTCGTCTCTACCTGGCCTCACTTCCTCCTTTCTTCTCTCTTCCTTCCTTCTCTCGCTCTCTTTCCCTCTTTCCTTGGAGGGGGCGTGGGCGGGGGAAAAAGAAGTAGGTGGAGGAGGGATGGTTTTGACAGGTTAGAAGGGGGCGGGGCTTGGAGTCGGCATGAGCAGGGTAAGCGGAAGGAGAGGGAGGAGTGAAGGTGCGTTGGGTGTGTGTGTGTGTTTGCGGCGGGAGGAGGAGTGAAGGTGCGTTGGGCTGTGTGTGTGTTTGCGGGGGGGCTTGAAGTGGGTGTGGCTTCGGCGGAGGGAACGTTGGCCGGCAGGCCATGTGCACGCGCCAGGGAACTTGCGGCTGGGTGCCAATGCACATGCTCAGTTGTTTTGCCGTTTTGTGAGTGTGTTGTTGTGTTGTTTTTCATTTTGAGTAGATATGTTTGTACCTTGTGGGTTGTGTTATGGGCATGGAAATTTTGCTTAAGTTTCGTTGGGGGTTTTTTGAGTTTTGCTTCTCCGTTCGACGACCCTTTCAAATTTATAGTTATAGAAGATTCCCATCGTTCGGATGTCCCAACCCCTGTTCTTAACTGTGAGTCACGTGTTTGTAACTCAGGGATGACCTGTATGTATGTATGTGTATGTCTGTGTGTATATTCTTCTCACTTCCTGTTGTCTCAGCCCCACACTTTTCTAGAAGTCAAATATGGAAGTCAGATGTTTGTGACCCAGGGACTGCTATTATTATTATTATTATTATTATTATTATTATTATTATTATTATAATTACTATAATTACCTGTCGCGAGCACTGCCTCTCCCGCATGGCTTTCAGGCTGCCATTCCAGTGCAGCAGCTGGAAGACTGTCATCAGCTCCTGCGCAAAGAAGAGAGAACGGTTGGACACACAACCCTGCTATTATTATTATTATTATTATTATTATTATTATTATTATTGGTATTAGTATGGCTGCAATGTGTTTTTGTTTTGTTTTGTTTGCAGTATGAATCTATATCAATAAAAATGTAATGTTCGTTTGTGGGATTAACAGAACTCAAAAACCACTAGACGAATTGACACCAAATTTGGACACAAGACTCCTAACAACCCAATGTATGTCCTTCACTCAAAAAAATTGATATTGTCATTTGGGAGTTGTAGTTGCTGGGATTTATAGTTCACCTACAATCAAAGAGCATTCTGAACCCCACCAATGATGGAATTGAACCAAACTTGGCACACAGAACTCCCACGGCCAACAGAAAATACTGGAAGGGTTTGGTGGGCAGTGTCCTTGAGTTTTGGATTTGTAGTTCACCTACATCCAGAGATCACTGTGGACTCAATGATAGATCTGGATCAAACTTGGACGGAATACTCAATATGCCCAAATGTGGACACTGGTGGAGTTTGGGGAAAATAGACCTTGACATTTGGGAGTTGTAGTTGCTGGGATTTATAGTTCGCCTACAAGTAAAGAGCATTCTGAACCCCAACAACGATGGAATTGAACCAAACTTGGTACATAGAACTCCCATGACCAACAGAAAATATTGGGTTTGCTGGGCATTGACCTTGAGTTTTGGATTTGTAGTTCACCTACATCCAGGGATCACTGTGGACTCAAACAATGATGGATCTGGGCCAAACTCGACACAATTACTCAATATGCCCAAATGTGAACACTGGTGGAGTTTGGGGAAAATAGAATCTTGACAGTTGGGAGTTGTAGTTGCTGGGATTTATAGTTCACCTACAATCACAGAGCATTCTGAACCTCACAAATGATAGAATTGGGCCAAACCTCCCACATAGAACCCCCAGGTGGGGCACAGCAACCCGTGGCAGGGGACGGCTAGTATCTAATATAAATAGATCAGTGTCCTGGGAGTCTATATGGAGACGAGATGCCTGTGTCTGAAACGATGCGTCGCATGTTAATTTCTATTCACGGCTTTGGCTAAGGCTTTCTGCATGTTTTGGTGAGGGGGGGAGCTTATAGACAAATACGACGTTGTTCTAAGAGCTTTAGACAACGTCAATCTGTCGGGTCTCTGCCTTGAGATTGGCTCTGGCATCAAAAGATGGGTTTTACAGTGACAAACCCAAGCAAAAGTTTCTTGGGGAGCCCCAAGAAATGTTTATATTATATTGTAATACTAGCCGTCCCCTGCCAGGCGTTGCTGTGGCCCACATGGGGGGTTCCGTGTGGGAGGTTTGGCCCCATTCTATCATTGGTGGGGGTCAGAATGCTCTTTGAATCCATACATCCCAGCAACTTGAATCCATTTAGAGTAGCCAAATCTTCCTGGGTTACGTCTTTACCTATTTTGGGTTGTGTTTCCCCTATTACCACATCCACTCCGTATTCCTCATCTTGAACCTCAGTCTCCTTTTGGGAGTAAGAAGACTGAGGCAAAGAAGGTGTCGAGCAGCTCTGCCTTTTTCCCTATCCCTTGGATAATATTCATATATATATATTTTCCCCTCGTGGTCAGCTGTGAATTGCACGTATGGTTAATTCCTGCACTCGCGCAGACAGCATAGGAAATTCTCGAGACCAATTTGACCGTTAGAGTAGCCCCGCCCACTTCCCCGTCAGTATAAATAGCCCATGGGAGGGGCTACTGCCCAGTCCAACGCGTGTCCATCACCCCTAAACGCACACACACAATCCCAGCGGAAGAGACTTAAAAACCCCCAAAATACGCAATATATAGATATACACATACACTCATATACATATACACATGCACACATTCATACAAACAGCTGCGCCCGTATCTTGGGAAGTCTGACTTGGCCACGGTGGTACACGCTCTTGTCACATCCCGCCTAGACTACTGCAACGCTCTCTACGTGGGGCTGCCCCTGAAGACGGCCCGGAAGCTGCAACTAGTCCAACGCACGGCAGCCATGATTCTAACAGGAGCGGAGCGCAGGGAGCACACAACCCCCCTGTTGCACCAGCTCCACTGGCTGCCGATTTGCTACCGGGCCCAATTCAAGGTGTTGGTATTGGCCTATAAAGCCCTAAACGGTTCCGGCCCAAGATACCTAGCTGACCGCATCTCGGCCTATGAGCCCACCAGGACTTTGAGATCTTCCGGGGAGGCCCTGCTCTCGATCCCGCCAGCCTCACAGGCACGGTTGGCGGGGACGAGAGATAGGGCCTTCTCGGTGGTGGCTCCTCGGCTGTGGAACGCCCTTCCTGTAGATGTTAGGCTGGCACCATCTCTCATGACATTCCGTAGAAAGTTGAAGACCTGGATGTTTGTGCAGGCATTTGAGTAATTCAGTGCAATTCTGGTAATTTGAACATAGGAACGGAACAATGGACGTCGAACTTGGATTACGCTTGGATGATGAGGAGATCGGGGGTGGGTTTTGGGATAACTGTGTATTGATGTTTGTTTATTAGCTAGTAATGGAATGTGTAATTTAACTGTTATGGTATATTAATTATTGCTGTTTTTTATTGTCCTTGTTGTTTACTGTCTGGAAACCGCTGTGAGTCGCCCTCGGGCTTGAGATACAGCGGTATACAAGAATAGTAAATAAATAAATAAATAAATAAATATGCACAAACACATGCATAAAGACAAGCACACACATATACACAATATGCGTGTACACATATAAACACACAAATACACACATATATACACACACACATATACACCCACATATATATATATACGCAAACACACATATATACATATTACATTTATTATTATTTTCTATCTATATATATAAGAACCTTAAGGGCGTAATTAGGCGGTCAAAAACGGAGAAACCACCGGACGAAATCTCACCAAATTTGGCCTGCTAATACCTCTTCCCCCAAGGAATGACCAACAACCCTCAAAGCACCAATACGCAACAACACAAACGCACAATACCCTAAAAACACGGAGCATGCGCAGAAGCCTCGGGAGGAATATGATGAGGAAGGACTCCATTTCCCAGCTTCCCCCGCACCCCTCCCTCTACCCCATCGCTCCCGCCGCTGTGGCGGATTTCGACTCCTACGACGACCGGGCTTCGGTGAGCCAGGTCGGCCTCTCTTCCGAGGCAGAGAGGGAGGCACCTGGGGTGGGTAGGCCTCAACGCGAGGAGCGAGGATTGTGATACTGGAGGTCTCGAGGCCTGCCCCTCGCTCTCTCTTTCTCCCCCCCCCCCCCCCCCGCCTCAAGGCCAACCTTTGGCATGGCAATGGATGTCTTTGGGCATGCCTTCCCGTTCTTGAAGTGGCTTCCTGGGCCCTCCCACACAGCCAGAGCACAATCTAGAGAAAATGTGCAAAACCACATATAGATACACAAACACACATATATGCATATACACACACAAAACACATACACAGAAAGGGGGAAGGAAGGAGGGAAAGAAAGAAAGGTAGAGAAAGAAGGAAGGAGAGAAAGAGGGAAAGAAAGAGGGAAGGAGAGAAAGAAGGAAAGAAAGGAAGATAGAGAAGAAAGGAGGGAGAGAAAGAGGGAAAGGAGGGAAGGAAAGAAAGAAGGGTAGAGAAGGAAGGAAGGGGAGAGAAAGAGGGAAAGATGGAGGGAAGGAAAGAAAGAAGGGTAGAGAAGGAAGGAAGGGGAGAGAAAGAGGGAAAGGAGAAGGAGAGAAAGAAGGAAAGAAAGGAAGATAGAGAAGGAAGGAGAGAAAGAGGGAAAGGAGGGAAGGAGAGAAAGAAGGGTAGAGAAGGAAGGAAGGGGAGAGAAAGAGGGAAAGGAGAGGAAAGAAAGAAGGGAGAAGGAAGGAAGGGAAGAAAGAGAAAGAGAGGGGGAAAGAAAGAAAGGAAGGAAGATAGAGAAGGAAGGAGAGAAAGAGGGAAAGGAGGGAAGGAAAGAAAGAAGGGTAGAGAAGGAAGGAAGGGGAGAGAAAGAGGGAAAGAAGGAGGGAAGGAAAGAAAGAAGGGTAGAGAAGGAAGGAAGGGGAGAGAAAGAGGGAAAGAAGGAGGGAAGGAAAGAAAGAAGGGTAGAGAAGGAAGGAAGGGGAGAGAAAGAGGGAAAGAAGGAGGGAAGGAAAGAAAGAAGGGTAGAGAAGGAAGGAAGGAGAGAGAGGAAAGAAAGAAGGAAAGAAAGGAAGATAGAGAAGGAAGGAGAGAAAGAGGGAAAGGAGGGAAGGAAAGAAAGAAGGGTAGAGAAGGAAGGAAGGGGAGAGAAAGAGGGAAAGAAGGAGGGAAGGAAAGAAAGAAGGGTAGAGAAGGAAGGAAGGGGAGAGAAAGAGGGAAAGAAGGAGGGAAGGAAAGAAAGAAGGGTAGAGAAGGAAGGAAGGGGAGAGAAAGAGGGAAAGAAGGAGGGAAGGAGAGAAAGAAAGGAAGATAGAGAAGGAAGGAGAGAAAGAGGGAAAGGAGGGAAGGAAAGAAAGAAGGGTAGAGAAGGAAGGAAGGGGAGAGAAAGAGGGAAAGAAGGAGGGAAGGAAAGAAAGAAGGGTAGAGAAGGAAGGAAGGGGAGAGAAAGAGGGAAAGAAGGAGGGAAGGAGAGAAAGAAAGGAAGAGAGAAGGAAGGAGAGGAAAGAGGGAAAGAAGGAAGAGAAAGAAGGTAGAGAAGGAAGGAAGGGGGGAAAGAGGAAAGAAGAGGAAGAAAGAAGGGGAGGAAGGAGGAAGGGGAGAAAGGGAAAGAAGAGGGAAGAGAGAAGAAGGAAGAAAGGAAGATAGAGAAGGAAGGAGAGAAAGAGGGAAAGGAGGGAAGGAAAGAAAGAAGGGTAGAGAAGGAAGGAAGGGGAGAGAAAGAGGGAAAGAAGGAGGGAAGGAAAGAAAGAAGGGTAGAGAAGGAAGGAAGGGGAGAGAAAGAGGGAAAGAAGGAGGGAAGGAAAGAAAGAAGGGTAGAGAAGGAAGGAAGGGGAGAGAAAGAGGGAAAGAAGGAGGGAAGGAGAGAAAGAAAGGAAGATAGAGAAGGAAGGGAAGAGAGGAGGAGGGAAAGAAGGTGAGAAGGAAAGTAAGAAAGGTAGAGAAGGAAGGAAAGAGAGAAAGAAATAAAAAAGTAAAAGAAGGAAGGAAGGAGAGAAGGAACGAAAGAGGGAGGGAGGGAGGGAGGAAGAAGGAGGAAGGAAGGAAGGAAGGAAGAGACAAGGAAGGATGGAACCAAAGAGCAAAGGAAGACGAGAAAAGAAACAGGTAGAGAAGGAAGAAGGAAGAAGAGAAAAAGAGGGAAAGAAAGGAAGAGGAAGGAAGGAAGGAAGGAGAGAGAAAAAGAAGGAGGAGAAAGAGGGAGGGAAGGTTTGCCACAGCAACGCGTGGCGGGTACAGCTATTAATAATATAAAAGTTGGCATATAATAATAATATAGAAGCTGGTAAATAATATTGAATAACAATACAATTATAATAATAATACTAGTATTGCTATTGTTGTTGTTGTTGTTGTTATTGTTCTTGTTATGTTATGGTTGTGGTTATGACTTACCTGGAACTCCAGCATGGACTTCCCTTTGTTGGACTCCAGCATGAAGCGGAAGGCGCCGATGCCTGTGCTGGGATTATCGGCTTCTTCTCTGTTGCCCTGAAGAAAAGAACAATTCTATTTAAGCCGCTTAGACAGAATCAGCCTTCTCACCGGAGGCAGATGTCTCTCAATCCATAGGATTTGGGGACGTTAAGCTTCGGGACTGTCTTTCCCTCCATATGTTTCGGTCAAGAACACACCAAGGAATTAAAAAAGCGAAGAATATTATTTTCCAAGTGTTAAAGAATAGTTGTCAACAAGAACGAGTGTTTCCAAGTCACGTGGAAGGCCCTTTTCGTGGATTCATCATCATCATCATCATCAAGTTGGCTTCAGGAAAGGCAGAAGCTGCACATCGCAAGTGCTGAACCTGACTCAGCACATAGAAGATGGCTTTGAAAGGCAGCAGATCACAGGACTTGTCAGCGGCTTATGATACCGTCAACCACCACCTCCTTCTGAGAAAAATGTATAGTATCACAAAGGACGACCACCTCACCCGCCTCATAGGAAACCTGCTATAAAACAGGAGCTTTTTTGTTGAGTTCTAGGGCCAGAGAAGCAGATGGCGGAAACAGAAGAACGGCCTGCCTCAGGGGAGCGTGCTTGCTCCATCCATGTTCAACATCTACACAAATGACCAGCCACTGCCAGAAGGGACAGAGAGCTTCATCTTTGCTGATGATCGTGCCATCACCGCTCAAGCAGGGAGCTTTGAGATGATTGAACAGCTCTCCGAAGCTCTAGGTGCTCTTACTGCCTATGACAGGGAAAACCAGCTGATTCCCTAACCCATCTAAAACACAGACATGCGCTTTTCATTTCAAGAACAGGACAAGCATCCTGAGCTCTGAGGATGACCTGGGAAGGAATCCCACTGGAGCATTGCAGCACACCCAAATACCTGGGAGTCACTCTGGACCGTGCTCTGACCTACAAGAAGCACTGCCTGAACATCAAGCAAAAAGTGGACGGCTAGAAACAACATCATACGAAAGCTGACTGGCACAACCTGGGGATCACAACCAGACACAGTGCAGACATCTGCCCTTGCGCTGTGCTACTCTGCTGCTGAGTACGCATGCCCAGTGTGGAACACATCTCACCACACTAAAACAGTGGATGTGGCTCTTAATGAGACATGCCGTATTATCATGGGGTGTCTGCGCCCTACACCACTGGAGAAATTACACTGCTTAGCCGGTATTGCACCACCTGACATCCGCCGGGAAGTAGCAGCCAATAGTGAAAGGACCAAGGCAGAGACATCTCCAGCTCATCCTGTTTGGGTATCAGCCAGCACGTCAACGACTTAAATCAAGACATAGTTTTCTAAGATCTACAGAGACACTCGCTGGAACACCTCAGCAAGAGAGAGTCCAAAAGTGGCAGGCTCAAACCCAGAACCTCAACCAATGGCTGATACCAAAGAGAGACTCCCCCTTGGGCACACAGAAGACGGGACGGCTTGGAAGGCGCTGAACAGACTGCGCCTTCAGAAACGGGGCCACAAAGCGGAATCCACGACATGCGAGTGTGGAGAAGAGCAAACCACTGACCACCTGCTGCAATGCACCCTGAGCCCTGCCACATACACAATGGAGGAGCTCCTTGCGGCAACACCAGAGGCACTCCAAGGGGCCAGAGACGCGTCAAAGGACATTTAATCCACTACCAAGCTTGTAAATTCTGTGTTTTGATTGTTTGTTTGTTTTGTTAAAAATGTAATACAAATGTCTGGTTGCTGATGATACGATAAATAAATAAATAAATAAATAATTAGTTTTAACTTGGCAAACTGTATGTTATTTCACTGTATTTTTTTATCCATTGTAATGTATGATGTTAAATGGTTTTACTTGTTAGCATTGAATCCTTGTAGTGAACTCTCCTGAGTCCCTCTACGGAGATTAGAGAAGAACAGTATAGAAAAGTTTTTAATTAATTAATTAATTAATTAATTTCGTGTCACAAAATTTCAAGTCGAACACTTCCCATGTTCCCAAGTTTGAATATGGCCATGATCCCTCTGTCAACAATCTTACAAAAAACAAACCTCGGCTATGAAACATCCAAGAACTCGCAAAATTTCACACCTGCTGTACATGGATGACCTGAAGCTGTATGGCAAAACCGAAACCGAAACTCAGTCTCTGACTAACACTGTCTGGATCTTTAGCACCGATATCAGCATGGAGTTTGGTTTGGACAAATGTTTATTATTATTATTATTATTATTATTATTATTATTATTATTATTATTTATACCCTGCTCTATCTCTCCTGAGATAAGCAGCTTGATGTAAAGGCATCACCATACAATTTAAAAATATGTAAATATGCAAACATAAAAACAGGAATAAATATAAACAGAATTAAATGAAGTGTTCTGTAATGTAATGCAATATAATACTACTACTATTAATATATTATTATTATTATATATTTCTATTACTTGTAATATTTCTAATAATCTATATAAATAAAAATGTAATGTTCGTTTGTGGGATTAACAGAACTCAAAAACCACTGGACGAATCGACACCAAATTTGGACACAAGACACCTAACAATACAATGTATGTCCTTCACTCAAAAAAATTGATTTTGTCATTTGGGAGTTGTAGTTGCTGGGATTTATAGTTCACCTACACTCAAAGAGCACTCTGGACCCCACCAACGATGGAATTGGGCCAAACTTGGCACACGGTTCTCCCATGACCCACAGAAAATATTGGAAGGGTTTCGTGGGCAGTGTCCTTTGGTTTTGGAGTTGTAGTCCACCTACGTCCAGAGATCACTGTGGACTCAAACAATGATGGATCTGGACCAAACTCTACACGAAGACTCAATATGCCCAAATGTGAACACTGGTGGAGTTTGAGGAAAATAGAATCATGACATTTGGGAGTTGTAGTTGCTGGGATTTATAGTTCATCTACAATCACAGAGCATTCTGAACCCCACCAACGATAGAACTGGGTCAAAGTTCCCACACAGAACCCCCATGACCAACAGAAAATACTGTTTTCTGATGGGTCTTTGGCGATCCTTCTGACACACCTTCATGACCCCCCCCCCCCAGGGGTCCCGACCCCCAGATTGAGAAACACTGGTCTATCTAAGAACTCTCACAAAATTTCACACCTGCTGTATATGGATGACCTGAAGCTGTATGGCAAAACCAAAACCGAAATCCAGTATCTTTAGCACCGATATCAGCATGGTTTGGTTTGGACAAATGTTTATTATTATTATTATTATTATTATTTATACCCTGTTCTATCTCCCCTGAGATAAGCAGCTTGATGCAAAGGCATCACCATACAATTTAAAAATATGTAAATATCCAAACATACAAAGAGGATTAAATATAAACAGAATTAAATAAAGTGTATTATAAGGCATCCAATATTAATATTTGCTGCTTAATGTTGTTGGCTGCCCTGATTCCCCACTGGGGATATATAGGGCAGGATACAAATCAAGTGTGTTGTTGTTGTTGCTGTTGTTGTTCTCTCCACTTACGTTGAAAGAGGCCAAGGCTTCGGAGACGCTCTTCTCGATGAACTCGTCGGTGATCCTCCGGGAGGGGTGCTCGTTGAAGACGGAATTCATCAGGGCGATCTTGGCCGCGCTCCTCCGGGCCTCGGCTTTTGTGGGGCAGAACTGGGAGGGACGGAGGGAGGAAAGCAATCATGTGACCCACACGTTCTTGTGAAATGCCGATTACGATTGAGATTTCTCTCTGAGTGATACGACAATCGTCCTGAATCAATCTGTCAACCTTTTGCTTGTGAAACTCGGTGGTTGCTGTCACAGGACATCCAACTCTTTGTTTGTCACGCAAGTCAGATGTTCCAACCTCAACATCTTTCAACTTTCTCACCCAACGACGCACAGTCCTCACATCAACACAATCACCATACACAGCTTGCATTCTCTGATGAATTTTCTTTGGGGTGACACCTTCTTGACCTTCTGCTGTCAAGAATTCAATGACTGCACGTTGTTTAAGTATGTGCTTTACTTTGCATGTCAACAACACAACCGTCCAATGCTAAGGCTTCCCGCCAAAATGGAACTGTAGAGGAGAGTCTACTGAACAAGCCAGTACCTACCGCATACCAGGACTGCCATCTGTTCAGGAGTTACGAAGGTGGAGGCATTACTTTGCACTTTAACAACACAACCGTTCAATGCTAAGGCTTCTTGCCAAAATGGAACTCTAGAGAAGAGTCTACTGAACAAGCCAGTACCTGCAGCATACGTTGCTTAAGTCGCATTGACTGACTGCGCAGGGTTCCCTACTTTGCACTTTAACAACACAACCATTCAATGCTAAGGCTTCCCACCAAAATGGAACTGTAGAGGAGAGTCTACTGAACAAGCCAGTACCTGCTGCATAACAGGATTGCCATCTGTTGAGGAGTTACAAAGGGGGAGGCATTACTTTTCATTCAACCCTCGTACGTCACACTTTAAGAACACAAACGTTCAATGCTAAGGCTTCCTGCCAAAATGGAACTGCACAGGAGAGTCTACTGAACAAGCCAGCACCTGCCACATACCAGGACTGCCATCTGTTGAAGAGTTACGAAGGGGGAGGCATTACTTTTCATTCAACCCTCGTCCACACTTTCTTCAAACAGACACAGGCTCTTTCTCCCACCTTAGGGAGATTTACACTCCACTTGCTTCATTACTTCTATGCAAGTACCCTCACTGACTTTGCAAACTTCACGGCTGCTCAAGGCTATCCAAACTTACTCATTGCAACATCCACACTTTCTTCAAACAGACACAGGCTCTTTCTCCCACCCTAGACATTCTTGCATAGGGATATATACACGCCATTTGCTACCTCTATGCGGATACCCTCACCGATTGACTTTGCAAACTTCACGGCTGCTCAAGGCTATTCAAGCTTGCTCATTGCCAACATTTACACTTGGTTCAAACGGACAAGGGTTCTTTCTCCCACCTTAGGGAGATTGACACTCCACTTGCTTCATTACTTCTATGCAGGTACCCTCACTGATTGACTTTGCAGCTTCATGGCTACTCAAGCTTGCTCACTGCAACATTCACACTTGCTACAAACAGACCAGCGTTCTTTCTCCCAACCTGGGCATCATTCCACGGGGATATATACACTCCACTTGCTACCTCTATGCGGATACCCTCACTGATTGACTTTGCAAATGTCACAGCTGCTCAAGGCCTCACCTGAAAGCTGCCGAAGCAGCTCCCCCCGGGGAGGGTGACGTAGCAGACGTAGGGGGGGCTGCTGGAGGGGACCATCTCGTAGACCACCAGCGCCCCGTTCTTGAGGTCGGCCCCTCGCGACTGCTTCATCTGCCAGAACTCCTGCAGGGCCTCCACCACGTTCACTGCCGAGACAGAAAAAGGGTCACAACAATGCAGGGGGCCGGGGGGGTTCCCTTGTAAGTTCCTTCCCTCCCTCTTTCTCTCCTTCTTTCCCTCTTTTTCTTTCCCTTCTTCTTTCTTCCTTCTCTACCTGTTTCTTTTCTCGCTTCCTTTGCTCTTTGGTTCCATCCTTCCTTGTCTCTTTCCTTCCTTCCTTCCCTCCCTCCTTCTTTCTTTCATTCCTTCTCTCCTTACTTCCCTCTTTCACTTATTTAATTCTCTCCTTCATTCCTTCTCTCTTTCCTTCCGTCTCTACCCTTCTTTCTCTCCTTCCCTCCTTTTTCCCCTTCTTTCCCTTTCTTTTTCCCCTTCTTCCTTCCTTCTCTACCCTTCTTTCTTTCCTTCTTTATCTCCTTCCCTCCTTCTTTCCCTCCCTCTCTCCCTCCTTCCCTCTATCTCTCCCTCCTTCTTCCTCTACCCTTCTTTTTTCCTTCCTTCTCTCCCTCCTTCCTTCCCTACCTTTCTTTCTTTCCTTCCCTCTTTCTCTCCCTCATTCTCTCCTCCCTTCCTTCTCTACCCTTCTTTTTTCCTTTCTTCCCTCCTTCCCTTCTTCTCTCCCTCCTTCCTTTTCTACCTTTCTTTCTTTCCTTCCTTCTCTCCTTCCCTCCTTCTTCTCTCCCTCCTTCCTTCTCTACCTTTCTTTCCTTCTCTCCTTCCCTCCTTATTTTCCTTCTTTCTCTCCTTCCCTACCTTTCTTTCTTTCCTTCTCTCCTTCCCTCCTTCTCTATCCTTCTTTTTCCTTCTTTCTCTCCTTCCCTCCTTCTTTCCCTTCTTCTCTCCCTCCTTCCTTCTCTCCCTTTCTTTCTTTCCTTCCCTCCTTATTTCCCTTCTTCTCTCCCTCCTTCTTTCTCTACCTTTCCTTCCTGCTTTCCTTCCTTCTCTCCTTCCTCCCTTCTTCTCCCTCCTTCCTTCTCTTTCTTTCCTTCCTTCTTTCTCTCCTTCCCTCCTTTTTCCCCTTCTTCTCTCCCTCCTTCCTTCTCTACCTTTCTTTCCTTCCTTCTTTCTCTTTCCCTCCCTCCCTCCTTCCCTACCTTCCTTTCTTTCTTTCTTTCTTTCTTTCTTTCTTTCTTTCTCTTTCCTTCCTTCCTTCTCTCCTTCCCTCCTTCTCTACCCTTCTATTTCCTTCCTTCTCTCCTTCCCTCCTTCTTCTCTCCCTTTCTTTCCTTCCTTCTTTCTCTCCTTCCTTCTCTACCCTTCTTTTTTCCTTCCTTCTCTCCTTCCCTCCTTTCTGTGTATGTGTTTTGTGTGTGTATATGCATATATGTGTGTATATATGTGTTTGTGTGTATATATATGTGTGGTTTTCCGCGCGCGTTGTATTGGGGGGGGCTTTTTAAGTCCCTTCTGTTGTGTTTTTCAGTGTTTTTATGAGTGATGGTCACTTGTTGGCCTGAGAGGGGTCTTGCGTCCAAATTTGGTGTCCATTCGTCCAGTGGTTTTTGAGTTCTGTTAATCCCACAAACGAACATGACATTTTTTATTTATATAGATAGATATAGTATCCCCCAAAGGCCATCCAATCCAGCCCTGTTCCTAACTATGAGTTGTTTGTAAGTCGGATGTTTGTACCTTGGGGACTGCTGTATATAAAATAAAAATAATAGAGTAATATTCATGATATATAATAATATAATCCTAATAATAATATTATATAAGGTACACAGTTAAACCTTAAAAGAAGAGCCGGTTGTGCATGGAACGCATTCAACTTGCGGTCCGGCGTTCCGTCCCACGCAGGAACCCGAATGGTTGTTTTGGCGAGAGGCGTCCCGAAAAAAAGAGTGAGCGAGCGAGCAAGCACAACGTCAACACTCTCCAGGTTTCCATTTGGAGCTGGCCAGGCCTTAACCTCAAAGTATGCAAAAACTGCAGGCCATGTTTTGAAAAAAAACCTTAACGAAGAACAGCTTTGCAAAGCCTCTCTCCCTGGCTCCCGTCTGGCGCAGCTTGGCCGCCGTTCGGACTGCCGTTTGCGGACAGTCGACATTGGAAGGCAGCCTCTCCGTTGCCGTCGCGTGCAAACCTCAAAGTATTGCCATTAGGAAATGTTGACCATTTCCTCTACCTTTGCAGCCACCTCTCCACCGAAGTCAACATCGACACGAAAATACAACACCGCCTGAGCTCTGCAAGTGCAGCATTCTTCCAAATGAATGTGGACTGTCTATAAACATCAACACTTACACCAAAATACAACGCCTCCTGAGCTCTGCGAGTGCAGTATTCTTCCGAATGAAGCAGAGAGTGTTTGAGGACCGGGACATCCAGAGGGAGACCAAGGTGCTTGTTTATAAAGCTACTGTCCTCCCAACCCTGCTATACGCCTGCGAGACGTGGACTGTCTATAGACATCAACATTGACAACGAAATACAACACTGCCTGAGCTCTGCGAGTGCAGCATTCTTCCAAATGAACGTGGACTCTCTATAGACATCAAAAATGACACCGAAATACAACACCGCCTGAGCTCTGCGAGTGCAACATTCTTCCAAACAAAGTAGAGAGTGTTTGAGGACCGGGACATCCGTAGGGAGACCAAGGTGCTTGTCTATAAAGCTATTCCCCTTCCAATCCTGCTATATGCCTGCAAAACGTGGACTGTGTATAGACATCAACACTGACACTGAAATACAACAGTAGCTTCACTCACTTCCTAAGACCATTGCGACCTACACCTATGAGTGATCAAGACCAAACTTGGCACACAGAGCCCCCATGACCCACTCTACATCCTGGTGCAGTTTGAAGGAGGGTGGGCCATGGATGATGAGACTTGCAATACCTTCTCTCACTTACTGAAACCACTGCGATCTTCTTCCAATGACCAATAAAGACCAAACTTGGCACACAGAGCCCCCATGACCCACTCTACATCCTGGTGCAGTTTGGAGGAGGGTGGGCCATGGATGATGGGCCTTGCAGTACCTTCACTCACTTACTGAAACCACTGCGACCGTCATCCAATGACTAATAAAGACCAAACTTGGTACACATAGCCCTCATGACCCACTCTACATCCTGGTGCAGTTTGGAGGAGGATGGACCATGGATGATGGGACTTGCAATACCTTCACTCTCTTACTGAAACCACTGCGACCTTCATCCAATGACCAATAAAAACCAAACTTGGCACACAGAGCCCCCATGACCCACTCTACATCCTGGTGCAGTTTGAGGAGGATGGACCATGGATGAAGGGACCTGCAGTACCTTCACTCACTTACTGAAACCACTGAGACCTTCTTCCAATGACTACTAAAGACCAAACTTGGAACACAGAGCCCCCATCACCCACTCTACATCCTGGTGCAGTTTGAAGGAGGATGGACCATGGATGATGGGACTTGCAATACCTTCTCTCACTTACTGAAACCACTGCGACCTTCTTCCAATGACCACTAAAGAACAAACTTGGCGTACAGAAACCACTGCGACCTTCTTCCAATGACCAATAAAGACCAAACTTGGCACACAGAGCCCCCATGACCCACTCTACATCCTGGTGTAGTTTGGAGGAGGGTGGGCCATGGATGATGGGACTTGCAATACCTTCACTCACTTACTGAAACCACTGCGACCTTTATCCAATGACCAATAAAGACCAAACTTGGCATACAGAACCCCCTTTACCCACTTTCTCTAATAACCTGGGCAGCGCTGTGGTGTTTAAAGCCAAAGGATGATTCCTGTCCTGGAGTGCAACACTGACTCCCAACCACAGCTCGGTCCATCCCGACCCTGTCCTCTGGGGTATTAGCTCTCCCTCCTAACTTGGTCCAATCTGCAAGGTCATTAAGCCATTAATAAAGAGCGTGAACCCAGTCCTGGGCCCAGGACCGAACCCTCTTCGTGGCCCTCCACTAGTCACTTCTTTCCAGGACGAAGAAGAGGAACCGTTGGGGAGGAGAAGCACCCTTTGGAAAAGAAAAGGCCCCCTTCTACAAAGCTCTGGCAAAGAAAGAAAAAGCTCGGAGTTCCCTTTGTTTACATCCTTGGCTCACAAACCCCGGTCCCAGCCTTGCGGACGGCGGCGCATCTGACTTGCATATTAAACAGGCAGGAATTCAGCGGTTCCATATGGGCCCAGAGCCATACAATTATCGCTGGGAAAGGGCCCACGGCGCCAGCACCAGTCGCTCCGAAGCTGAGCCTCCAGAGCTTGAGAGAGGACTTACAAACAACTCCTAGTTAAGAATGGGGCTGAATCAACAAGAAGTGAGAATATAATACTATATATATATATGAATCAACAAGTGAAAATTATATATATATATATATATATATATATATGAAGCAACAAGTGAGAAATATATATATATGTATATATATGTATATAGTATTATATATATGAATCAACAATTGAGAAATATCCGACCGCATCTCTGCCTATGAACCCACCAGGACTTTGAGATCTTCCGGGGAGGCCCTGCTCTCGATCCCGCCTGCCTCACAGGCACGGCTGGTGGGGATGAGAGATAGGGCCTTTTTGGTGGTGGCCCCTCGGCTGTGGAACGCCCTTCCCACAGATATTAGACTAGCTCCATCATTATTGGTATTCCGCAAAAAAGTGAAGACCTGGTTGTTCGAGCAGGCGTACGAATAGTTAGTGCAATGAGTGTAATGAACATAGGAATGGAACAATGGATGACAGATTTGGATCATGTTTTCAGTGATGAGACGCCAGTGAATGACTATTGTTGTTAATTATATAGGATTGTTTAGATGTTATAATGTTACTGTTTTTTACCGTGTACTGTATTTTTGCTGTTCGGTTGTTAACCGCTGTGAGTCGCCTAAGGGCTGAGAACAGCGGTATACAAATAAAGTAAATAAATAAATAAAATATATTTCTCACTTGTTGATTCATATATATATATATATATATATATATATATATAAAATATATATAATTCTCACTTGTTGATTCATATATATAATATTATATATATATATATCTCCTTGATTCATGTATATAATATATATATATATATATAATTCTCACTTTGATTCATATATATAATATTATATATATTATATATATTTATTTCTCACTTCTTCTTGATTCATATATATATATATAGTATTATATATATATATAATATATATATTATATATATGAATCAACAAATGAGAATTATATACATATATATAATATTATATATGTATTAATCAAGAAGTGAAAAATATATATATAATATTATATATATGAATCAACAAGTGAGAATTTACATATATATATATATATATATATATATATATAGAATCAAGACTTCATACATATATAATATTATATATATATGAATCAACAAGAAGTGAGAAATATATATATAATATTATATATATGGATCAAAATGAAGTGAGAATATATATATATATAATATGAATCAACAAGAAGTGAGAATATATTTGAAAGACTAGATTTAGTAAACAGAGTCCCAGAAGAACTATGGACAGAAGTCCGAGACATTGTTCAGGAGGCGGCAACAAAGTACATCCCAAAGAAAAAGAAAACCAAGAAGGCAAAATGGTTGTCTGCTGAGACACTGGAAGTAGCCCAAGAAAGGAGGAAAGCAAAAGGAAACCGTGATAAGGGGAGATATGCCCAGTTAAATGCGCAATTCCAGAGGTTAGCCAGAAGAGATAAGGAACTATTTTTAAATAAGCAATGCATGGAAGTGGAAGAAGACAACAGAATAGGAAGGACAAGAGACTCTTCCAGAAAATTAGAAACATTGGAGGTAAATTTCAGGCAAAAATTGGTATGATAAGAAACAAAGATGGCAGGGACCTAACAGAAGCTGAAGAGATCAAGAGAAGGTGGAGACTATACAGAAGATCTGTATAGGAAGGATAATAATATTGAGGATAGTTTTGACGGTGTGGTGAATGAATTAGAACCAGACATCCTGAGGAGTGAGGTTGAATGGGCCTTAAGAAGCATTGCCAACAACAAGGCAGCAGGAGACGACGGGATCCCAGCTGAACTGTTTAAATCTTGAAAGATGATGCTGTCAAGATGATGCATGCCATATGCCAGCAAATACGGAAAACACAAGAATGGCCATCAGACTGGAAAAAAACCACTTATATCCCCATACCAAAAAAGGGAAATGCGAAAGACTGCTCAAACTTCCGTACAGTGGCCCTTATTTCTCATGCCAGTAAGGTAATGCTCAAGATCCTGCAAGAAAGAAGACTCCAGCAATACATGGAGCGAGAGTTGCCAGATGTTCAAGCTGGGTTTAGAAAAGGTAGAGGAACGAAAGACCAGATTGCCAATATCCGCTGGAGAATGGAGAAAGGTAGGGAGTTTCAGAAAAACATCTACTTCTGCTTCATTGACTATTCTAAAGCCTTTGACTGTGTGGATCATAATAAATTGTGGCAAGTTCTTGGTGGTATGGGAATACCAAGTCACCTTGTCTCTCTCCTGAGGAATCTGTACAAGGACCAAGTAGCAACAGTCAGAACAGACCATGGAACAACAGACTGGTTCAAGATTGGGAAAGGCGTACGGCAAGGCTGCATCCTCTCACCCAACCTTTTTAACTTGTATGCAGAACACATCATGCGATGTGCGGGGCTGGATGAATGCAAAGCTGGGGTGAAAATTGCTGGAAGAAACATTAACAACCTCAGATATGCAGATGACACCACTCTGATGGCCGAAAGCGAGGAGGAGCTGAGGAGTCTTCTAATCAAGGTGAAAGAAGAAAGCGCAAAAGCCGGGTTGCAGCTAAACGTCAAAAAAACCAAGATTATGGCAACAAGAATGATTGACAACTGGGAAATAGAGGGAGAAACCATGGAGGCCGTGACAGACTTTGTATTTCTAGGTGCAAAGATTACTGCAGATGCAGACTGTGGCCAGGAAATCAGAAGACGCTTCCTTCTTGGGAGGAGAGCAATGTCCAGTCTCGATAAAATAGTAAAGAGTAGAGACATCAGACTGGCAACAAAGATCCGCCTAGTCAAAGCCATGGTATTCCCTGTAGTCACCTACGGATGTGAGAGCTGGACCTTAGGGAAAGCTGAGCGAAGGAAGATCGATGCTTTTGAGCTGTGGTGTTGGAGGAAAGTTCTGAGAGTGCCTTGGACTGCGAGAAGATCCAACCAGTCCATCCTCCAGGAAATAAAGCCCGACTGCTCACTGGAGGGAAAGATACTAGAGACAAAGTTGAAGTCCTTTGGCCACATCATGAGGAGACAGGAAAGCCTAGAGAAGACAATGATGCTGGGGAAAGTGGAAGGCAAAAGGAAGAGGGGCCGACCAAGGGCAAGATGGATGGATGGCATCCTTGAAGTGACTGGACTGACCTTGAAGGAGCTGGGGGTGGTAACGGCCGACAGGGAGCTCTGGCGTGGGCTGGTCCATGAGGTCACGAAGAGTCGGAAACGACTGAACGAATGAACAACAACAAATATATGAATCAAAAAGTGAGAAATATATATATTATCTATGAATCAACAAAAAGTGAGAAATATATATATATACATATAATATTATATATATGAATCAACAAGTGAGAATTATATACATATATAATATATATATATATATGAATCAACAAGAAGTGAGTTATATATATAATATTATATATATGGATCAAAATGAAGTGAGAAATATATATATATAATACTATATATATGAATCAACAAGAAGTGAGAATTTTTTTATATTATTATTATAATTATATAATGTGACATTGTATCATAAGATTATATATTATGAGTAGTAATATTTATAATATTATAATGTAATACAACATAATATATGATATTTATATTATATTATTATATTTATATTATATTATATTTCTACATTTTATATTATATGTAATATTACTAATAATATTCTAGAAATGGCATACTACAATATAGTAATATATATAATACTGATATATGGTAATGGTATTAGGGCGTTCTGCGCATGCGCGCCTGCTCCTGCCTGGGGTGATCTGCCAGGTTTGCCTCTCACTGGCCAGCACAGGCCTTCCCGCGCATGCGCAACACACCGCAGAGGGCCTGAGAGGGCAGCGAGCGCGTTCTGCGCCTGCGCGGGGCCTGCCTCACTCACCTCTCCCGTAGCCCTGCGTGTGCTTGGCGAAGCTCCGCACCACGGCGTCCACGGCTTCCCTCAGCCCCGCCGGAGGGCCCCCCGTCCCGGCGAAGGCCAGGCCTGGGAACAGCGGCGGAGGCGGCGGCGGGAGGACCAGCGGGGGCGGAGGCGGAGGCGGGGCCGTGGTCACGCCGGGCCGGAGGGAGCGGAGGGCGCCGCCGCCTACTCCCGGCTGGAGCCGCTGCGCCCGCAGAGAGTCCATCGCCGCGAATGAGCCCACTTCCGGTTTGCTCGCCTTTTTATCTCCTCGGGGGGCGTGGTTAACTCTGACCGGTAGACCAATCGCCGTCGCCTTAATCGGAGGCGGGGCTCCCTCGTGGCCGATCGCCGTCGTCTCCTCCTCAAGAGTTTTCAGTTTGTGGGAAATGATTGACAGAGGCCATAAGCCAATCAGGGAACAGAATAACAAAGTGGGCGGGGCTTTCCTGGATTTCAACTCAATGGCCTCACAATATAAACGATTGACATATAAACAACGAGGCTGAGGTGGGCGGGGCGTTTTGCGGACTGTACCCAATCACGTCACGTTATAAGCGATTGATGTGTAAGCAGCCAATCGGAAAACCGGATAACAAAGTGGGCGGGACTTTTAATGAATTTGAACCAATCGCCTCACGATATACAAGAGTGACAGCTCCCCCTCCCCGAGGCTGAGGAAAGCAGCCAATCGGGAGACCGGATAACAAAGTGGGCGGGACTTTTAATGATTTCGAACCAATCGCCTCACGATATACAAGAGTGACAGCTTCCCCTCGCCTAAGCTTTGTGTAGGCAATGAGGCACAAGGTGGGCGGGCCTTTTGCGTGCTGTGCCCAATCATGTCACGTTATAAATGATTGACGTGTAAGCAGCCAATCGGGAAACCGGATAACAAAATGGGCGGGGCTTTCTTGGATTCCACGCAATCTCCTCACAATTGACATATGAGCAACGAGGCTGAGGAAAGCAGCCAATCGGGGAACCGGATGACAAAGTGGGCGGGACCTTTAATGAATTCGAACCAATCGCCTCACGATATACAAGAGTGACAGCTCTCCCTCCTCGAGGCTTTATGTGGGCAATAAGGCCCTAGGTGGGCGGGGCCTTTTGCGGGCTGTACCCAATGATTGACGTGTAAGCAGCCAATCGGGAAACCGGATAACAAAGTGGGCGGGACGTGTAATGAATTCGAGCCAATTGCCTTCTCGAGAAGCGGCCTTCGCCCGAGAAGTGTGTCCTTCGCGCTCTGCCGTCCCTTTCCCGGAAGTGGCCTCCCGTTCGGTCGCTGAGGAGACTCCCGAGGCGGCGGGATGGAGCCCTGGGTCCGGTTCAGCGCCCAGAGCCAGGCCAAGGAGCGCGCCCTCAGGTGGGCCCCGCACTCGAGGCAGGCCTCGCACTCGAGAGTAGGCCTCAGGGGCCTTTCTCACAGGCAGGGCCCTGACAGTAGGGCCTGGCAGGCTTCCTTTGAGGCCTACTCATCCCCTCAGGCCTGGGTGTTCCGGACTCCAACTCCCACAATCCCTCACAGCTGTTGGGTTGCTAGGAATTGTGGGAGTTGGAGTCCAAAACACCTTATCAGGTGATATAGTATAGAGGTCAGCTGTGACCAGCAGTGCTGTAGAATTTGGTAATAGTATTAATACTGAGCACTCTAGCTGGAGGTCAGCTGTGATCAGCAGTGCTGTAGAATTTGATAATAGTATCAGTGTTGAGTGCTGCGGCTGGAGGCCGGCTGTGACCGGCAGTGCTGTAGAATTTGATTATTTATATTGTTCACAGTGGTCTCAGAAAGTGAGTGAAGGTGCTGCGAGTCCCATCATCTGTGGTCTATCCTCCTCCAAACTGGACCAGGATGTAGAGTGGGTCATGGGCGCTCTGTATGCCAAGTTTGGTTTTGAAAAGTCATTGGATGAGGGTTGCAGCAGTTTCAGGAAGTGTGTGGAGGTACTTCAAGTCCCATCATCCATGGTCCGCCCACATCCAAACTGCAGTAGGACGTAGAGTGGGTCATGGAGCCTCTGTGTGCCAAGTTTGGTCTTGACCAGTCATTGGATGAGTGTCACATTGGTCTCGGGAAGTGAGTGGAGGTAGTTCAAGTCCTATCATCTGTGGTCTATCCTCCTCCAAACTGTACCAGGAAGTAGAGTGGGTCATGGAGCCTCTGTTTGCCAAGTTTGGTCTTTATCGGTCTTTGTTGGGGGCCACAATGGTCTGTGGGAACCGAAGGGTTTGAAAGGACTACAAATCCCATCATCCATTGTCCATCCTCCCCCACACCTCACTGGCAAATAAAGGGGGTTATGGGAGTTATGTTTCCCAAGTTTGGTCTTGATCAGTCATTGGATGAGGGTCGCAGTGGTCTCAGAAAGTGAGTGGAGGTACTTCAAGTCCCATCATCCATGGTCCGCCCACATCCAAACTGCAGTAGGATGTAGAGTGGGTCATGGGGGCTCTGTGTGCCAAGTTTGGTCTTTATCGGTCTTGGGAGCCACAGTGGTCTGTGGGAACCGAAGGATTTGAAAGGACTGCAAATCCCATCACCCATTGTCCATCCTCCCCCAAACCTCACTGGCACATAAAGGGGGTCATGGGGGTTATGTTTCCCAAGTTTGGTCGTAATCAGTCATTGGATGAGGGTCGCAGTGGTCTCAGAAAGTGAGTGAAAGTACTGCAAGTCCCATCGTCTGTGGTCTATCCTGTACCAGGATGTAGAGTGGGTCATGGGGGCTCTGTGTGCCAAGTTTGGTTTTGATCAGTCATTGGGTGAGGATCGCAGCAGTCTCAGCAAGCGAGTGGAGGTACTTCAAGTCCCATCATCCATGGTCTGCCCACATCCAAACTGCAGTAGGACGTAGAGTGAGTCATGGGGGCTCTGTATGCCAAGTTTGGTTTTGATCACTCATTGGATGAGGGTCGCAGTGGTCTCAGAAAGTGAGTGAAGATACTTCAAGTCCCATCATCTGTGATCTGTCCTCCTCCAAACTGCACCAGGATGTAGAGTGGGTCATGGGGGCTCTGTGTGTCAAGTTTGGTCTTTATCGGTCTTTGTTGGGGGCCACAGTGGTCTGTGGGAACCGAAAGGTTTGAAAGGACTACAAATCCCATCATCCATTGTCCATCCTCCCCCAAACCTCACTGGCACATAAAGGGGGTCATGGGGGTTATGTTTCCCAAGTTTGGTCTTAATCAGTCATTGGATGAGGGTCGCAGTGGTCTCAGAAAGTGAGTGAAAGTACTGCAAGTCCCATCATCTGTGGTCTATCCTCCTCCAAACTATACCAGGAAGTAGAGTGGGTCATGGAGCCTCTGTTTGCCAAGTTTGGTCTTTATCGGTCTTTGTTGGGGGCCACAATGGTCTGTGGGAACCGAAGGGTTTGAAAGGACTACAAATCCCATCATCCATTGTCCATCCTCCCCCACACCTCACTGGCAAATAAAGGGGGTTATGGGAGTTATGTTTCCCAAGTTTGGTCTTGATCAGTCATTGGATGAGGGTCGCAGTGGTCTCAGAAAGTGAGTGGAGGTACTTCAAGTCCCATCATCCATGGTCTGCCCTCCAAACTGCAGTAGGATGTAGAGTGGGTCATGGGGGCTCTGTGTGCCAAGTTTGGTCTTTATCGGTCTTTGTTGGGGGCCACAGTGGTCTGTGGGAACCGAAGGGTTTGAAAGGACTACAAATCCCATCATCCATTGTCCATCCTCCCCCAAACCTCACTGGCACATAAAGGGGGTCATGGGGGTTATGTTTCCCAAGTTTGGTCGTAATCAGTCATTGGATGAGGGTCGCAGTGGTCTCAGAAAGTGAGTGAAAGTACTGCAAGTCCCATCGTCTGTGGTCTATCCTGTACCAGGATGTAGAGTGGGTCATGGGGGCTCTGTGTGCCAAGTTTGGTTTTGATCAGTCATTGGGTGAGGATCGCAGCAGTCTCAGCAAGCGAGTGGAGGTACTTCAAGTCCCATCATCCATGGTCTGCCCACATCCAAACCAGTAGGATGTAGAGTGGGTCATGGGGGCTCTGTGTGCCAAGTTTGGTCTTGATAACTCATTGGATGAGGGTCGGAGTGGTTTCAGTAAGTGAGTGAAGGTACTGCAAGTCCCATCATCCATGGTCCACCCTCCTCCAAACTGCAGCAGGATGTAGAATGGGTCATGGGGGCTCTGTGTGCCAAGTTTGGTCTTTATAGGTCTTTGTTGGGGGGTCACAGTAGTCTGTGGGAATCGAAGGGTTGGGAAGTACTACAAATCCCATCCATTGTCCAGCCTCCCCCAAACCTCGCGGGCACATAAAGGGGGTCATGGAGGTTATGTTTGCCAAGTTTGGTCTTGATCAGTCATTGGATGAGGATCGCAGTGGTCTCGGGAAGTGAGTGAAAGTACTGCAAGTCCCATCATCTGTGGTCTATCCTCCTCCAAACTATACCAGGATGTAGAGTGGGTCATGGAGCCTCTGTGTGCCAAGTTTGGTCTTTATCGGGCTTTGTTGGGGGCCTCAGTGGTCTGTGGGACCCGAAGGGTTTGAAAGAACTACAAATCCCATCATCGATTGTCCATCCTCCCCCAAACCTCACTGGCACATAAAGGGGGTCATGGGGGTTATGTTTCCCAAGTTTGGTCTTAATCAGTCATTGGATGAGGGTCGCAGTGGTCTCAGAAAGTGAGTGAAAGTACTGCAAGTCCCATCATCTGTGGTCCATCCTCCTCCAAACTGCAGTAGGATGTAGAGTGGGTCATGGGGGCTCTGTATGCCAAGTACTGCAAGTCCCATCATCTGTGGTCTATCCTCCTCCAAACTGTACCAGGATGTAGAGTGGCTCATGGGGGCTCTGCGTGCCAAGTTTGGTCTTTATCGGTCTTTGCTGGGGACCACAGTGGTCTGTGGGACCCGAAGGGTTTGAAAGTACTACAAATCCCATAACCCGTTGTCTGTCCACTCCCAAATCGCACCAGGACGTAAAATGCATCACGGGGGTTATGTGTGCTAAGTTTGGTCCAGGTCCGTCACTCGTGCGAGTCTCTGCGGCCTGTGAAAGTGAGAGCCAACCAGAAAGCTGCCGTCCTTCCACCCTCCGCATACATACATACAAACATTCACTTTTATTATATAGATAGATATTGCATTACATTATTATGAATGTGAATTATTAATGGGGCCTAGTCTTAATTCGACCTGCTTTTTCCTGCCCAGGGCTGCCCAGTATGCCTGCACTTTGCTTGGCTACACCCTCCGAAAGAATGGGGCCAGCCCCGGCTTCCTGGCGAGCGTCACGCAGCTCGAGGCCCACCTCAGCCTCGGCCGCAAACGTGAGTTCACATTTAGTGCTTAATCATTAACAATCAGGGGTTAATAATTAATTAGGCTTCAACTTTAAGGAGTTGCTCAAGGTATTATTATTAATTATATCTTTAAAAATATTTAAAAGAACTAAATGCATGCATGTATATCTAATCAGAGGTATTATTTATTTATTTATTTATTTGTCAAAGGTATTATTATTATTGTTTATATTATTTTAAGGAGTTGTCCAAGGTATTATTATTATTATTATTATCTTATTTTAAGGAGCTGTCAAATTTATTATTATTATTATTATTTATATATTATTTTAAGGAATTGTCCAAGGTATCATTATTATTATTATTATTATTATTATTATTATTTATATCTTACTTTAAAGAGCTGTCCAATGTATTATAATAATAATAATAATAGTATTATTTGTATATTATACTAAGGAGCTGTCAAAGGTATTATTATTATTATTATTATTATTATTAATATATTATTTTAAGGAGTTGTCCAAGGTATTATTATTATTATTATTAATATTAATATTATTACCTTATTTTAAGGAGCTGTCAAAGGTATTATTATTATTTATATATTATTTTAATGAGTTGTCCAAGGTATTATTATTATTATTATTATTATTATTTATATCTTACTTTAAAGAGCTGTCCAATGTATTATAATAATAGTATTATTTATGTCTTATTATAAGTTTAAAAAATTATTTAAAAGAACTCAATGTATGCAAGTATATCTTATCAGAGGTATTATTATTATTATTTATTACTATTTGTGAAAGGTATTATTATTATTATTATTATTATTATTATTATTTTAAGGAGTTGTCCAACGTATTATTATTATTATTATTATTATTATTATTATTATCTTATTTTAAGGAGCTGTCAAATGTATTATTATTATTATTAATAATAATAATAATAATAATAATAATAATAATATATTATTTTAAGGAGTTGTCCAAAGGTATTATTATTATTATTATTATTATTATTATTATTAATATCTTACTTTAAAGAGCTGTCCAATGTATTATAATAATAATAATATTTATATCTTATTTTAAGGAGCTGTCCAAAGTATTCTAATAATATTATTTACTTAATAGTAGGGTGAGTTAATATTTAAGGAGATGCTCAGGACATTATTATTAGTTATATCTTTAAAACATTTTTAAAAGAACTCAGTGCATGCATGTATATCTTATTTTAAGGAGCTGTCAAAGGTATTATTATTATTATTTATATCTTACTTTAAAGAGCTGTCCAATGTATTATAATAATAATAATAGTATTATTTATATCTTATTTTAAGAAGCTGTCCAAGGTGGTATTATTATTATTATTATTATTATTATTATTATTTATATCTTACTTTAAAGAGCTGTGCAATGTATTATAACAATAGTATTATTTATATATTATTTTAAGGAGCTGTCCAAGGTATTATTATTATTATTATTATTATTAATATCTTACTTTAAAGAGCTGTCCAATGTATTATAATAATAGTATTATTTATCTTATTTTAAGGAGTTGTCCAAGGTATTATTATTATTATTATTATTTATATCTTACTTTAAAGAGCTGTCCAATAATTATATATACATGCACACTTGAGTAAATACTATATGTGTGTGTGTGTGAGAGAGAGAGAGAGTGATAGTATCCAAGATTTGGAAGGGACCCCTAAAGATCATCCAGTCCTGCCCTGAGTCGTTCGTAAGTCGGATGTGTGTAACTCGGGTCCCTTTTCCTCTTCCAGTCTTCCGCCTGGGGAACTCGGCCGAGGCGCTGGAGGCGGCCAAGAGGGCCATCCACCTCTCGGACGTGGTCCTGCGCTTCTGCATCACGGTCGGCCACCTCAACCGGGCCATGTACTTCGCCTGCGACAACATCCTCTGGGCCGGGCGGGCCGGCCTCGTCCCCCACATGGACCAGGAGAAGTGGAGCCAGCGCTCCTTCCGGTGAAAACGGGCACTTCGCTTGTGCTCCACGCTCATTGAATCATTGAATAACAGAACAGGGATGTAGAGTGGGTCCTGATCAGTCATTGGATGACGGTCACAGCAGTCTCAGAAAGGGAGTGATGGTACTGCAAGTCCCATCATCCATGGTCCATCCTACTCCAAACTGCAGTAGGATGTAGAGTGGGTCATGCGGGCTCTGTGTGCCAAGTTTGGTCTTCACCAGTCATTGGATGAGGGCCGCAGCAGTCTCGGGAAGTGAGTGGGGGTATTTCAAGTCCCATCATCCCTGGTCCACCCTCCTCTAAACTCCAGTAGGATGTAGAGTGGGTCATAGGGGTTCTGTGTGCCAAATTTGGTCTTTATCTGTCGTAGTTGGGGGCTGCAGTGGTCTGTGGGAACCGAAGGGTGTGAAAGTACTACAAACCCCATCATCCATTGTCCGTTCTCCCCCAAACCTCACCAGGATGTAAAGGGGGTAATGGGTGTTATGTGTGCCAAGTTTGGTCTTGATCAGTCATTGGATGAGGGTAGCAGTGCTCAGGAAGTGACTGGAGGTACTTCAAGTCCCATCATCCATGGTCCGCCCTCCTCCAAACTGCAGTAGGATGTAGAGTGGGTCATGGGGGCTCTGTGTGTCAAGGTTGCTCTTTATCAGTCTTCGTTGGGGGCCGCAGTAGTCTGTGGGAACAAAAGGGTGGGAAAGTACTACAAATCCCATCATCCATTGTCCGTCCTCCCCCAACCCTCACCAGATCGTAAAGAGGGTCATGGGGGTTATTTATGTGGCTCACAGTGGTCTCAGGAAGTTAGTGAAGGTACTGCGAGTCCATCATCCTCCAAACAGCACCAGGATGTAGAGTAGGTCTTGGGGGCTATGTGTGCCAAGTTTAGTCTTGATTGGTCATTGATGAGGGTCGCAGTGGTCTTGGGAATGAATGGGGGTACTTCAAGTTCCATCATCCATGGTCGGCCCTCCTCCAAACTGCAGTAGGATGTACAGTGGGTCATGGGGGCTCTGTGTGCCAAGTTTGGTCCTTATTATATTTATTTATTTATTTATTTATTTATTTATTTATTTATTTATTTCGGTTACTTCTACCCCGCCCTTCTCACCCCGGAGGGGACTCAGGGCGGCTTACAAAGGCACAATTTGATGCCAGCATCACTTAACAGTAGTAAAACAAATAGCATCAATTAACAGTTAAACAACCATTCCTGCATTACAACAATAAAAGCAATAAAACCAATACAAACCCAATTACTCCTCATTGACGGTCAGCGTTCGTTACCTCATAGTCCAAATTCCATTTCCACATTGTCAGTCCTGTCAGTCCTAATTGTCTGATTGTCCTTATCTAGTTGTCAGATTGCCCAAAGGCCTGGTCCCACAACCACGTCTTTACCTTCCTCCTGAAGGAGAAGAGGGATGTTGATGACCTAATTTCCCCGGGGAGTGAGTTCCACAGGTGAGGGGCCACCACTGAGAAGGCCCTGCTCCTCGTCCCCACCAACCTCACTTGTGATAGCGGTTGGGTCGAGAGTAGGGCCCCCCCAGATGATCTCAAATTCCGGGGTGGGACGTAGAGGGAGATGCGTTCGGACAGATACGCTGGACCAGAACCGTACAGGGTTTTGTAGGTCAAAACCAGCACCTTGAATTGTGCTCGGAACTGAACCGGCAGCCAGTGGAGCTGACACAGCAGGGGGGTGGTGTGCTCCCTGTATGATGCTCCGGTGAGCAGTCTGGCTGCCGCTCGCTGGACCAGTTGAAGTTTCCGAACAGTCTTCAAGGGCAACCCCACGTAGAGTGCGTTACAGTAGTCTATTCGGGATGTAACAAGAGCGTGGACCACTGTGGCCAGATCAGACTCCCCAAAGTACTTTATCAGTCTTTGTTGGCAGCCACAGTGGTCTGTGGGAACCGATGGGTTTGAAAGTACTACAAATCCCATCATCCTTTGTCCGTCCTCCCCCAAACTTCACCAGGATGTAAAGGGGGCCGTGGGGGTTGTGTGTGCCAAGTTTGGTCCAGGCCCGTGGCCCGTGAAAGTGGCAGCCAATCAGAAAGCTGCCACATACACCACCCTCCCTCCGCATACAAACACTGACTTGTATTATATACATAGATAGATGTATATCTTAATATTATTAGTATTCTTATATTCTTTGTGGGACCCCCTCTGACGCTCACCCCCTTCTTCTCCCAGGTACTACCTCTTTGCGCTGATCCTGAACCTGAGCCGGGACGCCTATGAGGTCCGGCTGCTGATGGAGCGCGAGGTCAACGGCCGGCCTTCCCAGAAGACGGCGGCCTCCTCCGTGGCGTCCGGGGGCCACGCCAGCGAGGTCCCCGCGGGGGGGCGGTCCCCCGGCCTGCAGCGCCTGGCCCTGCGCGTCCGGCTGCAGCTGCGCCTCCTCTCCCGCATCCTGCGCAACAACCCCCCGCTGCTGCTGGACCTGGCCAAGAACGCCTGCGACCTCTTCATCCCGCTGGACAAGCTGGGCCTCTACAAGACCGGGCCGGGCTTCGTGGGCCTCTGCGGCCTGGCCTCCTCCGTCCTCTCCATCCTGGCCATCCTCCACCCCTGGCTCAAGCTCAAGCCCTGAGCGCCGCCCGCCCCGGGGACTCTAGGACCGCTTGGGCCTTCTCAACAAGGACCTTGACCCTCGGGGGCCGCCGTAGTCGACCTTACGATTCAGATCAGATTTGGGGTGATCCGTTCCTTGGATGTCTTTCTTTGACCCCCAATGGCTCACAAGTGACCTCTGGATATCAATATTTGGGACGATCTGCTCATTGGAATGAAGGCCGTCTTCAAGTTTGACCCCAATGGCTCATGGATGACCCCCAGGTGACCTCTGGGTATCAACATTTGGGACGATCCATTCATTGGATATCTTTCTTTGACCCCCAATGGCTCACAAATGGCCCGAAGTGACCTCTGGGTGGGACGATCCACTCATTGGAATGAAGGCTGCCTTTGAGTTTGACCCCAACGGCTCATAGATGACCCCAAGTGACCTCTAGATATCGATATTTGGGACAATCTGTTAATTAGAATGAAGGCTGTCTTTGGGTTTGACCCCAATGGTTCATGGATGACCCCAAGTGACCTCTAGGTATCAATATTTGGGACGATCCATTCATTGGATGTCTTTCTTTGACCCCAATGGCTCACAAATGACCTGAAGTGACCTCTGGGTATCAATATTTGGGACAATCCACTAATTGTAATGAAGGCTGTCTTCGAGTTTGACCCCAATGGTTAATGGATGACCCCAAGTGACCTCTAGATATCAATATTTGGGGTAATACAGTCATTGGAATGAATGAGGTCTTTGAGTTCGACACGATTGGCTCATGGATGACCCCAAGTGACCTCTAGGTATCAATATTTGGGATGAGCCATTCATTGGATGTCTTTCTTTGACCCTAATGACTCACGAATGACCCAAAGTGACCCCTGGGTATCAATATTTGGGACAATCCATTCATTGGAAAGAAGGCTGCCTTTGAGTTTGAACCCAATGGCTCACGGATGACCCCCAAGTGACCTCTAGGTATCAATACTTGGGACGATCCATTCATTGGATGACTTTCCTTGACCCCAATGGCTCGCGAATGACCCAAACTGACCTCTGGGTATCAATATTTGGGACGATCCACTCATTGGAATGAAGGCTGCCTTTGAGTTTGACCCCAACGGCTCATGGATGACCCCAAGTGACCTCTGGGTGTCAATATTTGGGATGAACCATTCATTGCCTTTGAGTTTGTCCCCAATGGTTAATGGATGACCCCAAGTGACCTCTAGATATCAATATTTGGGGTAATACAGTCATTGGAATGAATGAGGTCTTTGAGTTCGACACCAGTGGCTCATGGATGACCCCAAGTGACCTCTGGGTATCAGTATTTGGGATGAACCATTCATTGGAATGAAGGCTGTCTTTGAGTTTGACCCCAATGGTTCACGAATGATCCCAAAGTGACCTCTGGGTATCAATATTTGGGGCGATCCACTCATTGGAATGAATGATGTCTTTGAGTTTGACCCCAATGGCTCATGGAAGACCCCCAAGTGACCTCTAGATATCAATATTTGGGACGATCCATTCATTGGATGACTTTCCTTGACCCCAATGGCTCGCGAATGACCCAAACTGACCTCTAGGTATCAATATTTGGGACAATCCACTCATTGGAATGAATGATGTCTTTGAGTTTGACCCCAATGGCTCACGGATGACCCCCAAGTGACTTCTGGGTATCAATATTTGGGGTAATACAGTCATTGGAATCAATGATGCCTTTGAGTTCAACCCCAATGGCTCATGGATGACCCCCAAGTGACCTCTGGGTATCAATATTTGGGATGAACCATTCATTGGAATGAGTGATGTCCCACAGATGACCTCCAAGTGACCTCTGGGCCCCAATATTTTGGATCGTTGGAATGAACGATGTCTTCTTTCTCCAACCCCAAGTGACCTCTAGATACTCATATTTGGGGTGACCCATTCATTGGAGTGAAGGCTGTCTTTCTTGGACGACCCCGAGTGACCTCTAGATCTGGACGTTTGGGGTCATCATTCCTTCATGACCACACCCGTTGATGTTCTCCTCACTCTTTGACTCTCGACCTCTTTTGTCCCCATTCGTTGTCTCTCTCGCCTTCCTCCCTTCGTTCTAATAAAGCCAACGGTTGGGTTCCAACGTTCCGTGCATTTTGGGGGAGTTCTAGTTCCCAACGGGGTTCTCCTCCTTTCCAAAGTCTTCCCAAAGCTTGAGTAATGCTCTCAAAGCCAACCGGTCGCAAGGTGGCGCTGTGAATCCATCCAAGAGCCCGGCTTCTTCCTTGTGAAAAGATACAATGATATTGGGTTGTTGTGAGTGTTCCGGGCTGTCTGGCCATGTTCTAGAAGTATGGATGACCCTGACATGCAGGCAAAATGTCAGGAGAGAATGCTTCTGGAACATGGCCGGACAGCTGCAAAACACAGAGGTTGTGAGGTCCAGCCTCTGTTTCAAAGCCTCCAAAGAAGGAGCCTCCACCACTACTGTATTATTGTTACGATTATTATTAATCCAGCATCTACCAATCTCTATGGTTGCCATGAGTTAATGGAGAGTCTACTGTAGTATTACTACTAGTAGTAGTATTACTACTACTACCAGTATTATTGTTAATCCAGCATCTACCAATCTCTATGGTTGCCATGAGTTAGTGGAGAGTCTACTGTAGTATTACTACTACTACTACTACTACTACTACAAGTATTATTGTTAATCCAGCATCTATCAATCTCTATGGTTGCCATGAGTTAGTGGAGAGTCTACTGTAGTAGTACTACTACTACTACCATTATTATTATTATTATTATTATTATTATTATTATTATTAATCCAGCATATGCCTATCTCTGGTTGCCATGGGTTAGTGGAGAGTCTACTGTAGTATTACTACTACTACTACCAGTACAATTGTTAATCCAGCATCTACCAATCTCTATAGGTGCCACACATTAGCAGTGGGTCTACCTTATTAGTTTTATTACTACTACTACCACCACCACTATTATTATTGTTGTTGTTATTATTATTATTAATCCAGCATATGCCTATCTCTATGGTTGCCATGGGTTAGTAGAGAGTCTACTGTAGTATTACTACTACTACCAGTATTATTGTTAATCCAGCATCTACCAATCTCTATGGGTGCCACAGATTGGCAGTGGGTCTGCCTTATTAGTTTTATTACTACTACTACTACTACTGCCACCACCATTATTGTTATTATTATTATTAATCCAGCATATGCCTATCTCTATGATTGCCATGGGTTAGTGGAGAATCCACTGTAGTATTACTACTACTACCAGTATAATTGTTAATCCAGCATCTACCAATCTCTATGGGTGCCACAGATTAGCAGTGGGTCTGCCTTATTAGTTTTTTTATTATTATTATTATTATTATTATTATTATTACTACCACTACTACTACTACTACCACCATTATTATTATTATTATTATTATTATTATTAATCCAGCATATGCCTATCTCTATGGTTGCCATGGGTTAGTGGAGAGTCTACGGTAGTATTACTACTACTACTACTACCAGTATTATTGTTAATTCAGCATCTGCCAATCTCTATGGGTGCCACAGATTAGCAGTGGGTCTACCTTATAAGTTTTATTACTACTACTACTACCACCACCACTACCATTATTATTGTTATTATTATTATTATTATTATTAATTAAGCATATTCCTATCTCTATGGTTGCCATGGGTTAGTGGAGAGTCTACAGTAGTATTACTACTGCTACTGCTACAATTAATCCAGCATCTGCCAATCTCTATGGGTGTAATAAGCAAGCAGAGCGTCTACTGTAGTATTACTACTACTATTACTACTCAATAGTAGTAATAGTAGTAGTAATACTACAGTAGATCCTCTGCTTGCCTGGATCAATATCCAGCATCTACCAATCTCTATGGTGCAATAGGCAAGCAGAGGGTCTACTATAGTATTATTACTACTACTACTACTACTATTACTGCTCAATAGTAATAATACTACAGCAGATCCTCTCCTTGCCTGGATCAATATCCAGCATCTGCCAATCTCTATGGGTGCCATAGGCAAGCAGAGTGTCTACTGTAGTATTATTACTACCATTACTACTCAATAGTAGTAGTAGTAGTAGTAGTAATACTACAGTAGATCCTCTGGGGAAAACTACAACTCCCATGGTGTAATACCATTGTCTGGGGAAAACTACAGCTCCCAGGGTCCCGTGACATTGTCTGGGGAAAACTCCAACTCCCATGGTACAATACCATTATCTGGGGGAAACTACAACTCCCGGGGTCCCAATGGCAGGAAGAGGGAGAGAAGTAATAAAGGAAGGAAGAACCAATGATAGGAGAGAGGAAAGGAAGGAATAAAGGGAAAAGAAGAAGGAGGAGAGAGAGGAATGGGTCAGCGATGCGGCCAAACGAGTCCGACGGGACGCAGAGGCTTCAACAAACAGGTTTGGCCCCAAAGTGGCCATTTCCCACGTTATTTGAAGTCCTTATTATATAGCTGGTCGGCTGGGCCTCTGTTGGGAGGGCTTTGGTTGTGTCTTGTTCACCTAGGAGGAAGTGGCAAACTTCCGCGTGGCAGGAACCCTTCCAACCGCATCCCATTCCAATCACAAAGAAGCCCATTTTGTCCTTTCCCGGCATCGCTTGGGTTCCGGCCAAAACATACACAGACTTGAGTCACTTTTGCGTAATTTTCGGGTTTTGGGCTCTGTTGACGTCGAAGCCTAATCCCAAGAAAAGAAGTTGGGTCTGGATTTGACTCCGAGCCTTGGGGAACTACAACTCCCACCACTCCATAGCCTTGGCAGTTCGACTGTGGTCAAACTGTGTTCATTCCACTGAGATAAGACTATGGACCTTGGGAAACTACAACTCCCACCATTCCAAACTACAACTCCCAAAAGCTTATAGCATTGAGCCTTGGCGGTTCGACTGAGGTCAAACTGTGTTGATTCCACAGTGTAAGTTGCACTGAGATAAGATTTGACTATGGACCTTGGGAAACTACAACTCCCACCACTCCATAGCCTTGGCGGTTCGACCGCAGTCAAACTGTGTTCATTCCACAGTGTAAGTTGCACTGAGATAAGATTATGGACCTTGGGAAACTACCAATACAACTCCCATTATTCCAAACTACAGTGCCCAAGATCCCATAGCACTGAGGTCAAACTGTATTTCTTCTACAATGCAGGTTGCATTGGATAATGCTATGGGCCTTGGGAAACTACAACTCCCACCATTCCAAACTACAACTCCCAAAAGCTTATAGCATTGAGCCTTGGCGGTTCGACTGAGGTCAAACTGTGTTCATTCCACAGAGTAAGTAGCACTGAGATAAGACTATGGACCTTGGGAAACTACAACTCCCAATTATTCCAAACTACAACTCCCAAACGCTTATAGCATTGAGCCTTGGCGGTTCGACTGAGTTCAAACTGTGTTCATTCCACAGTGTAGGTTCAACTGAGATAAGATGATGGACCTTGGGAAACTACAACTCCCATTATTCCAAACTACAGTGCCCATTATCCCATAGCACTGAGGTCAAACTGTGTTTCTTCTACAGTGCAAGTTGCATTGAGATAAGACTATGGACCTTGGGAAACTACAACTCCCAATTATTCCAAACTACAACTCCCAAAAGCTTATAGCATTGAGCCTTGGCGGTTCGACTGAGTTCAAACTGTGTTCATTCCACAGTGTAGGTTCAACTGAGATAAGATGATGGACCTTGGGAAACTACAACTCCCATTATTCCAAACTACAGTGCCCATTATCCCATAGCACTGAGGTCAAACTGTGTTTCTTCTACAGTGCAAGTTGCATTGAGATAAGACTATGGACCTTGGGAAACTACAACTCCCAATTATTCCAAACTACAACTTCCAAAAGCTTATAGCATTGAGCCTTGGCGGTTCGACTTGAGGTCAAACTGTGTTCATTCCACAGAGTAAGTTGCACTGAGATAAGATTATGGACCTTGGGAAACTACAACTCCCATCATTCCAAACTACAACTCCCAAAAGCTTATAGCATTGAGCCTTGGCAGTTCAACTGAGGTCAAACTGTGTTGATTCCACAGTGTAAGTTGCACTGAGATAAGATTTGACTCTGGGCCTTGGGGAACTACAACTCCCACCACTCCATAGCCTTGGCGGTTGGACTGCGGTCAAACTGTGTTCATTCCACGGTTGAAGTTGCACTGAGATAAGATGATGGACCTTGGGAAACTACAAATCCCATTATTCCAAACTACAGTGCCCAATATCCCATAGCACCGAGGTCAAACTGTGTTTGTTCCGCAGTGCAAGTTGCACTGAGATAAGACTATGGACCTTGGGAAACTACAACTCCCACCATTCCAAACTACAACTCCCAAGAGTCCATAGCATTGAGCCTTGGCAGTTCGACTGAGGTCAAACTGTGTTCATTCTACGGCACAAGTTGCACTGAGATAACACTATGGACCTTGGGAAACTACAACTCCCATCATTCCAAACTACAACTCCCAAGAGCCCGTAGCATTGAGCCTTTGCAGTTCGACTGAGTTCAGACTGTTTTCATTTCATAGTGTAAGTTGCACTGAGATAAGACTATGGAACTACAACTCCCACCATTCCAAACTACAACTCCCAAGAGCCCGTACCATTGAGCCTTTGCAGTTTGACTGAGTTCAGACTGTTTTCATTCCACAGTGTAAGTTGCACTGAGATAAGACTATGGACCTTGGGAAACTACAACTCCCATCATTCCAAACTACAACTCCCAAGATCCCATAGCACTGAGCCTTGGTGGT